TACCACTACAAGACAACCAACAACGACCAATACCACTACAAGACAACCAACAACGACCAGTACCACATCAAGCACAACGACAACAACGACCATTACCACGTCAAGCACAATGACAACACCAGCAAATGGAATGCCAGCGGTGTACACTATTAGTACCATATGTTTGGTATTTACTGCTTGCTTTTTCTTGTTTCTTCTCTGAGTGTTCTGCAAACATTCAAAATATTTTACTCGTGCACTTGTGAGCTCTAGCTATACATTGATATTCAACTTTCATTCATTGTCACTTAGTCTACATAATTAATAAACCTAATAAACAACCCACAACACGATCATTGTACACCGCCAGGGATTTTCTTTTTTACTATCTCACACGTTTGATCGGATTACAAAGTAATTATATTTATAATATCGAGTATGGGTGCTAGAGCCCATCGGGTCCGACCCGGACCCGGACCCAGACCCGGACCCGCCCGGGTCCGGGTCGGGTCCGGGTCTTAAAAATTTGTTTTTACCGGGTCCGGGTCCGCGTCCGGGTCTCGAAGCTTTTTATGACCGGGTCCGGATAAAAAGAAATATAGTATCGACATGATATTTTTATACTGCTCGGTGAACATGAGAATGCCATTTTGGATTTGAAAACTGGTTAATAGGTTTTTAGAAAACTAAATCAAAGACCTTTTTTTTTGCTACTTAGTTTTGGTTTTTGGATAGTTAAGACTAAAAATTTTTTTAAAGTTACAGCTCGAGTTCAGACTAGTGCTCGTCGAAATCGGGTCCAACGCGGACCCGGACCGGGCATCGGGTCCGGGTCCGGGTCTACCGAAATTTTTTTGAACGGGTCCGGGTCGGGTCCGGGTCCAAAAAAATTTTATTGGGCGGGTCCGGGTCCGGGTCCGGGTCCAAAAAAACGTGGACCCGATGGGCTCTAATGGGTGCGAGTGTGTGAGTGGATTAAACATCATTTACACTCACACTCACAACCTCAAGATGGATTGTACAACAAATATTCGATTAATCGAACTATATAAACGGAAAGTTCTTCTACGCTTAAAATGTCAATATGCAACATGTCTTAATCATACAAATGAAAACCAAATATGGAAATTATTTATCTCAAAATTTGATTCATTTTGATAAAAAAACATAAATAATAAAGATTGTATATCATTTAACAAATATTTAGATGATTGCTGCCCTATTTATAATTTCAAGAAAAGTAATTGGATTACTGTTTTTCGGAATATATTAGATATGCCAAAAGAAAAAGTTTTCATTATTCTTCAAGTAGATTATGTGAAAGAGAAAAGAAGTTTAAATTGTTTTTCATTATAAAATCCTTGTTGTATACAATTATAAATATAAAATACATGATTTTACGTACTTTGCTCTATTTTCTCATGAAAATGCTTTTAAGTATTCTTCTTGTTTCTAAAACTCTAACTGGAGAACGGATACATTTACTAATATGATTCTTTGTGTTAAATATCATAAGGAAATATATTATAATGTTCATGGTTTTTTTCTATAACAAAAAAAACATTTCTTCTAGTTTTGATACATCAATAATTAGCTATTTATTTACAATAACTATCAATAAAATAGCAAAAGGTTAATTTTTTAATTGGAATTAATGGTTGCCAATAATACCATATAGACCGTTGCGTCGTCATCGGCGTCTATAAGATCATAAAATTCAGAAACTACTCTTGAAGAAAGAGTTGCCATAAAAGTAGGAACAGCTTGAGGGTGTGGGTGTGGGTGTGAGGATATAGATCGATGTGGGTGCGACTGGTGACCAAAATATGAATCTAGATCCTCATCACACTCACATGCTCAAGATGGACTAAAACAAATGTTTTGACAGATTCTTAATTATGAACAGCAACGTTATCAAAAGTTTTATATTTAAGAAAAAAAAGAACAAGCTGTAGACGTAAGAAATGGAACTAAAAAAAGAACAAAGCAATATCGATCATGATTAATTAAAGTGTTCATGTTGAGAGTGCTACTATATTTGTTGTGTTTTTGTATTACCAGTTGACACGACAATAGGATTTTCTTTATCATTTAATATATTTATTCGCGCAGCCATTAATGCCATAATATCATTTTGAATTTGTTGAGATGGATGAAGCAGTATTACCCCTAAAAATGTTTCTATGTTAGCGTAATAAATTTGTTTATTCTCGTAGTCCATTGTATATATAGTTGCATCACCATAATGGCCTCCAGGTTCGATAATCACTTCCTTCAAGCTTTCGTTAGCTTTTTTAACTAGTTGATCGACGGCTGTTTCTTCATTGCTAGGCATGGTTTGAATATATAATGAACCATGACAAAATAAAACCCATTCTGCATGACGACCATCATGTATGTTAATGAGATATCGAGCGAAATTGGTGAGAAGCATGTCGGCATTGTCTTGCTGTGGAACATCCATGTTGAAAAGTTTGATATATGATTAGATCGAGTTGATATTAGGAGTAGCAAATCAACAGATGCCTGCAAGTCTATACAATTTCTTGTGACTTTATATAGATATATCTAATGTAAGATAAAAAAATAAAGATAATTTCATTTGTGATACACAACATGACGTAGATTTGAATGACGCATAGAATAGCGCTGTAAGAGTCGAGAAAAACACGTTATTTTGAAAGAGTATTTTGTCGTTAAAAAAGGGAAGTGAGTCAGATATGTGCGTTAGTTCTCTTTCCAGAAATAAGATAATTATAGTTCATATCTTAGGATTGAATCGAATGTACGCGTCTCAAAAGGATACTAAACAGTATAGGGAAAATATAAGCAAAACAACTTGAGTCACTTATGCATCGTAGTTTATCGAAAATCGGAGGATGGGTATGAGTGTGTATAAGAGATCCCTTCTTATTCGAATGTTGTGTGTGTTATTCGTCTCGAAAAACAATGAATGAATGAGAAAAATAATCCGTATGCCGATAAGAAGAACCGAAAGGGAAAAAACAGATATAAATAGGTGAAGTGATGTGAAGGCATGTAAACAATATGACTGTAACATATTTCCCCACCAACAGAAAAAAATGTGTGTCTACACGCATTCGACAGAGACAACAGCAAGAAATAACACGAAAAAGAATCGACAAGAGAAAGCCGCGTAATAAATCGAAAACCCTTTGAAAAGAAATGTTGCGAACGATATCGATATGTTTAACCGATTGATAATCCGATAAGAAAATACAATAACGCAAAATTGAAAATCAGGACGAGAATGTATTATCGAGAATAATCGAAACGATATATTACAGAAATTTTCTGCTAATATTCTATGCGAAGAAGAAGGCAAAAATCATTATCCATGTGAAACCGAATGTCTAATATACGAATAATGAGTTGGGAGTAGTAGTGAGTAATCATATAATAGCATATATTAAAAGAGATTCCAAATTACGAAGAATTTCTATCGCTGTAATGTGCGTTTTCGATTTTGTGAGATTATATTGAGAATACATAGTCATAAGTATGAATATCGATTCAAAAACCAAAGATTGTGTCGCAACTTCGTCGAACCGATTGCGGCATTGATCTCGTGACTATAGTTTTGATACAAAATAAGAGGGAAGTAATGAACCGTCTACTCGATCATTCAATGGGTCCTATTGTTTGTGGTGCAAAACATTCGAAATACTTTTAGTTTCGAGTGATCATGGAGATTCTTGTAGACGAGTATCCACATTAATTACGTCAGGCAAATGTATTGTTGATTGATTAGATAGAAACAATATATATGTAGTTTATTTCTTATTGATTTTTCATTATAATATTCTGTAACTTATTTATATTTTGCTCTTGAAAATTTTCAATATTTATTGTTACTTTTGATAGTGAATAATTAAAAATATCAGAAATTTTTATTCTGATCAAGAATCAAATAGAGACATCCACATCCTCCATATTTATTATTTCTACTTAATTCTTTCATAATTAATACATCAAAATATATTATTTTACAGTTTGTGTAATTACAACTGTTCGAGCATTTCCTGTACGGTTCGTTCCTATTGTTCTTGGAGCCACAGCATGTACTGGTCGTTTCCAAAATAAAATGTTTATTTTTAATTTTTTTTGAAGTTCAGGAAGTGAGAAAATAGTTGCAAAAGGAATCACCATAATAATATGAGGAATGAAAAAAAGACTCGAAAAATAATAATCAAAAGCGCCATCGCTAACTGATACATTAGATTCGTACATCATATATATAATCATAGCTGGAAAATAACAGAATAGATAAATACTAGCAATAGATAGCAATTGAATTGCCATTTTTCGATAATTACGCCATTGAATTCGTTGACGTAAACGATGTTTTTGCCATAATACACGTACAAGAAGAAGAAAACTAAATGTAACAATAATAAAAGTAGGAATAATATTATGTAGAATACTATCAAATGTTCCAATTATTGGATCATATAAAGCGCAAAAAGAATAACCACAACGTATTATTTCATAGTCAAATGGTTCTTCACAATCCATAATAATGAAAATGTATACATAAAATAGAATAGGATAAACTAAAAATAGAAACGAAGGTATGTAATGAAATAATAGGCGACCTCTTTTTGTTGAAACCCATTTATCATGAAAGATAAGAATATGTCGTTGAATAGATGCCCATGCAACTAAAATTGTTATTGTTGCAAATATTCCAACATCAATGAACACCCATATGAGACAAAATGTTGGTATTTGAAATAAGGAAACGCCAACTCGATAATAATGCATCAACCATATAACATCAGTTAATTCATAGACAAGACCAAGAATAAGTATTAAAATAATGACATGATTATTTAGAGCTTGACGAAGTGTTCGTTTAGTAAGCAAATGATAAAGAATGAACATTGAACATGGTATTGATGGAATTAGAAGAGGAAAATAGGTGTAAAAACGAATTGAAGTTGAAATTGACATGAAAGATTTTTTCTTAAATTGAATATTGCTTGTAAAATAGAATATGAGAAATGAATTAATATAATGAAGAAAAGAGAGAAAGAATAAAAGAGACGACACAAGCGATATTCCGACAATTTGTATATGCTATATAAAAATCAAAAGAATACCTAATTGAACATGTTACTATATAAAGAATGCTCGTTTCTTTGATTTAATGCGACCAACTGGAAAATCGATCATTATGTGAACATCCGACAGCACTTATATTTATTAAAATAACTCCAATGCATCATAATCTACGCATATACAAAAATAAGTACAAACATGACTTTCAATATTTTAAAACTCTATATTTATTACTAATTATCTGTCTAAGCTTTAATATATGTTGATTCCCTGACTTGTCAGAAGAGAACAAGAAACAATCAACAATAAAAGACACTATCAAGAAAACTACCAGCAATAAATCGATCTTGAATGATTACTTAAAGAAAACCGTTTTCTAAGTTTTCATTACTTGTCAACAACCTGAATAATCTATTATGCATATTTAATATAAATAAATTGTTTCACATGTGTAAAAATTCTATCGAGTATTTCAAAATAATTTCAACATCATTTGTTTTATACATAATCTTGATCTGTTCTATTTGTCATTGTTTATTTAAACAATCGTGAGAGTGTGGGTGTGTATGGGTGACTATAAAGTAAATACACCGACACCTTCATCCACACCCTCATGAATGCTATTAGAATATATCAAAAGTTTGAGAATATGAATGAAAATAATTAGACGGCCAATTTAAAATTGTCTCATTGTTTAATTTATTTTATAGCGAGATTGTAATCTTTATTGAGGGGAAACTGAAATTTAATATCCTAAAGAGCTTCTGGTAATGCATTGCACTTATTGTTTAATTAAATAGCTTAATGTCATGTTTTTTTTGACATAAAAGATTAACATACATTCTCGTTTTATTATTTATGTGAAGGTATAGCGCAGAGAAAAGCACTGATGAGAAATTCAAATATTCTTTTATTAAATTTTAATTTTATAGTCTATATTCAAAATTAAGACGTCATACTAGTAATACCAGACTTTTATTATCAATCGTGACAGTAATTTCTATTAAGATGCTTTATAAATAATAAATGACAAGAAGAAAAAGAAGAAAAATGCAAATACTAAAGAATATATATCATTCTGAATAAAGTATTATGTCATCATCATCATCATCATCATCAGTATCTGATGGAATTCTCAAATTTGCTACACAATATTCACTTTATACTGGTTATATTATGTTTAGTTTTGGAGTTATTGGTAATGCTTTGAATATTCTCGTTTTTACTCAATTAAAATTATTTCGAACTAATCGATGCGCCTTCTATATAACCATTGAATCAATTTCTAACTTCATTTATCAATTTGTATCTATTAGTTTAACTATTTTAACATCAATATATGGAGATGATGCAACAGGACGTTCTGCAATTTGGTGTAAATTTAGATATATATTATCACAAATATGTGCGATTACTACTGTTTATATGATATGTTTTACGACTGTTGATCAATTCTTCTCGACAAATTATCGTTACAATTTAAGACAAATGTGCACATTGAAATTAGGTCGATATTTTACGTTTATATTTATTTGTTTTGCGATCATTCATAGCATTATGCTTGGCTCTTCTTACAATGTTCAACCAACATTGGGATGTGTCATATCAGATCATACATGGATTCAGTATTCAACATTTTTCTTTTATCCAATTTTAACTGGGTTTCTACCTATTATAATTGCATCGTCATTTAGTATCTTAGCTTATCATAATGTTCGTCATATAGTTCGACGACAATTACCCATTGTTCGTCGTAAATTAGATAAACAAATGACAGCAATGGTTCTTATGCGTGTAGTAGTCTACGTTTGTTTGTCATCACCTTATAGTGCTTATCGTATCTATGCAACTAATTATCCTACATCACGAAGTATGCCTATGCAATATGCAATTGGTCGATTGATTCAAGCAATTTTTCTTTCCATAACCATGATAAATTTTATGGTAAAATTATTTTCTTTTCTAATTTATATATATAAAATTTTGATTTATTTTTAGATCAGCTTTTATATTTTTATAATATTCTCGTCACGTTTTCGTCGTCAAGTAAAATTTGTTTTAGTAAAAATATGTTGGCAACGATGGAAATATTGGTGTTGTTCCATAAATAATCGAATTGAACCTGAGAACAATATTGAAATACATAATATACAAATAGAATCGGATGAAAATATCTAACTATTCAATAAGTAAATCATATATAAATGTAATATTCATTTCATTCGTCCACATTTATCCTCAAGAAAATATAAAACTTGAACTTCTTTTTGCTTTCACAATTGTCTTATTAGTTTTGATTTCTTCTAATTTGTTTCAACATAATTATTAAGTCATGCGCTTGTGTCTTGTCTAACAGTATTCGTCCATCGAATATTAGCTCTCTCAGCAACTGATACATCACCTGTAGTTGCCGTGAATTATTCGACGATAGTCAACCCTTGTAGCGTATTCACATATACAAGAACACTTTCCGCAGTATTTGACAGAGTGAAGCTTACGCTACCAAACTCCGCTACAAGTTCTGATCATTGTTAAACAATAAAACGAGTGAGTGTAGACGTGGATGCGTGTATTATTTTCATCTCACACCCACAACCACCCTCGTTAAACCGCACAATATGCCCATATAAATGTGTCGATGATCAGTCATATACTCGAAATCATTCTTTGAAAAACAAAGGTCGATTTTGTAAAATATCTTTTATTCACACACGTCATGTTTGTTTTGTTATTAACGAAAAAAGTCATTAAAGAAGAAGACAGATAGTATAATGCTTACAGTTTGCTCATCACGCGTTGAAAAGACGTGCATTGTGTTATAAGATGCTGCGTCATTCTTATCTTTTTCTACTCGTCTCTGATTCATTCGAATCAATATATGTAATATTAGAAACTTTAAAGAGGAACGATACTTCGTTAATTTTTTACAAAGCCATACTGATTCAGTTGTGATTATATCTCTTTATTTTCGTAAATTATGTTTTATCTATCATCGATAATCCAATAAACTTTGTTCAATGATAAGACGCAGAATATATCTTATGGGGAACCTCCATTTCCGGCGTTTCTTTGAAACGGCCGGGTACAAACTCTTCAAATTTTAAAGATATATAGGCTTCGAGTAGTAGAGCAAAAGTTGACAGAGGGTGTGACGGTGTGGGTAAGGGTATGGATCAGGATTTATTCTCTCTACGTTCACACCCACACCCTCAAATGGTAAAAGCCTTCTTCAAATATAATGAACATTATAAATAGCGTAAATTTTATTTTATTTTTAAGCAGAAAGAAAACTTCGAGGTTATAAAAACGAATAGAATAATGATGATTTTTGATCTTTAACAGCAACAACGCCAAATAATACAGAGTAAAATTAAAAAACCAATGCCTCCACCTACACCTCCACCAATATAAATTTCGATCCCAATGGATCCATCAGAATCTCGTGACATTTGTGATTCTTTCACAGTACCATTAAAAGTAATTTCAGTATTGTTCATCAAATCCATATTACTGTTTGTTGTGTTCAAAGATTTGCTTTGAACTGTCACCATCCACAATAAGATTATTGTTAAGATAACTATAGTAAGATAAATAAATATCCATTTTTTTATTTTTATGATAAATCGAAACTGTTTGATACTTACTATTGATGACACGCACAGTACTTGTAGAAATCATTTCAGTATTTTTGTCAGTAGTATAAACTTGATAGCTGATGTAAGTAGCGAAGCAGTCCTCCTTTATACATGCATATATATATGGCCTTCTTTGGAAGTTTCCGAGGAAGTGTTTTTTTCCTTGTATATTACATCATATATACATTCTTTCGTAAAGATGACATTGTCTAGGTAATGCTTCACATATACAGAAAATTGGAAGTCTCCGTTATATATGATCGTTATTTTATTTTCGTTGACAATTTTATTATTTATCACACTTCAGTCTCGAGACAGGACAGTTAGATTAGGGTGTGGGTGAGGAATTGTTTTCTCTGCCCTTACAGCTACAGCCATAGCCATATCTACAACGGCAGCTATACCCACAATCACAACCACACCCACATCTATACCCCCTTATATACCCACACCCACACCGGCACTCACACCCACACCCTCATAAAAGCAAAGTTTTTACTTCCTATTTCTTTCGATTATTTATCTTTTTACTGATCGTATTATCGAGTTTTTTTTCTCTTTTGCTTTATTACCACTTGAAAAATGTAGATGACTATATATACATGTTTTTTGTTGATGACTGATAAGCGGCTTTTCGACGATGAAATACTGTTACTTGTCATTGCCATGTCTTTGAATGGAAGTTTATAGAAGAAACTAATATCTCCTTGTCTAGTTTTATAAATATGAACTTAATAATTCAATGATAATAAAAACATTGTTTTGTGTGATATTCTTTTTTATCCATTTCTCATATTATTCTAAAAAACAAACTTATTTAAATAAAACTATTTCAAACAACTGAATTTCTAAACTTGTGATGTTTTGGGAAAGAATATGACATACTATGTTCGTGTGTTTTTTTTCCAACTATACATTTGATTTCAAAAAAAAAGAAATATCACAAAATATTTTAAGTGAAGAGTAGAAGAAGAATAACAAAAAAGACACCTTTTATTCATGATTAAATGGATTTTTACTGCTTCATAATGAGACAAAATGGAAAATGAAGAAAAATAACATTTTTGAAATTTGGAAATAATTCTAAACAAAAATAAATTTTCAATAATTTCTCAATTTCCTCTGATTTCTAATGATCTTGAGGGTGTGGGTGTATTATAAACACAATACTGGAAAGTACACTCATATCCACACCCACACACACTTGGGGTTTCATTAATCATCGAGTAATTCTGATAAGCAACTTGTATTGTTATTATTGTTATATCATGATTAATTTGTTTTTTCTCCATGTTATTTTTAAATTGTTTCAATTGAAATATTTTATCTAAATGTTATTTTTTGCAACGATCTGTAATTTTATCTTTACGACCACTCGAATCGCAGTAAAAGTACGTTAATGGTTCTTTACTTGGAAATTTTTTTACTTTTTGTTACTGAGAAGATTGTATGCTACTCGAATTTGTATTAGAGAATAAAGAGAGAAGAGCAAATTAGCGTTATATGGTATATGCTTATCACTATTCTGGCTTTCGTCTTTAACATATCTGTCTCCTTTCTTCTTTTCTTCTCATTTATTTCTGTGTTGTATATATCTTTCATTTTGACTATATCGACGAGGTTTTGACAGTATTTATGTATGTTACAGCGGACAACATAAATGACACAAAATATTCTAATGTTCATAATTAAAGTCAGAAAGAAGTGAAACAAAATCAAGGCATAAGGAGGGTTATATATGCTAATGATTAAATACTCTTAATAATGAAAGAAATAAAGAAAACACAATTTCATTACTCTATGTTAGGGAAGAAATAAGATAATCTACGTACAAAGCCGTGTCTTCATATCTACAAAACATTCTGCTTTTGATTTCTTATTAAAAAATATTTTAACGTCAGTAATTTTTCGAAAATTTTTCCCACCTCATATTGGCGCATGACGACTTTTTAGGCAACGATTGATCAGAGAAAATGTTTGAATTTTATAATAGTATCTATAATTATTTTTCTTTTATTAATTCTCAGATCAGTTGGATGATTATTCTTTAGCAAACAATCTTTAACTTTTTTGCTTCGTAAACTCAGGTAGGATTATCGAAAAAATCAATAACAATATTCGTCAAAGATTCGAGTCAATCAAAAGCATTTATCGTCGTAAGTAAAATAACGAGGATATTTTAATATTAGGAACAAGTCAAGTGACTAAGTAGATACTTCTGAAGTCTAGTGTCTTTTCGTTTGAAGTAAACAATGGTTTTTCTCATAGAGATCAGTTAAAATCTCTCTATCTATTTTAGTAAAAAGATTAATATCATAACGACAATGAACTTTAACATTTTTTTCCTTTATTAAACTCTTTCTAATATCAAGACATGGTACGATTATCTTCCTCTGGCTATAAAAATAAATAATATAACTTTTCGCTAGATGTCACTAATTTCTTAAAAATACAATATTTACTAAATTTCAATGTCATGTTAATATTCAGGAGAGAACATATCAAGATACACAAAAAGCAGTTAACTAAACTTTTAATTTCTATGTTTATTAATTAATCCGTATAATACGGAGGCTTCCATGCGTCATAAAATGATCTCTAAATATATAGTTTTATTATTCGTTATCTTTTGCAAAATTGTATGAATATATTTCATTTATATTAACATATCAGTGTGTGAATCTTTGTCTAACTTTAAGATTATTTGAAATATTAGCATGGATGATTTTCCAGATGAGGTATTTCTACAAATGTTTCGATATGTACCCATCTTAGATTTATTTCGCGGTTTCTACAACTTAAACTCGCGTCTCAATCGTATCATAGGTGAAATACGCATTCATATTCATTCTGTTTTGAACGAAGAAGAACAAGGATATATTCTTCCAAATATTTGTCCAGAACAAATACGTTCGTTCTGTGTTTATGAAGATCAATATGAATTTCTAAAGCTAAACCAATGTAACAATATTCGTCAATTAGAATTTGGATGTCGTTCGAGACATACTCACGAAACATATGTACATCGTCAACTGATACATGTACAACCAGCCGTATTTCCGCATCTAAGAAAATTAACAATTTATCAACAATACTGGTCATCGAAATATCAACAACTCTGTACAGTGATATTCAGTAATCAATTTCCAGTATTAAAATATGTGTATCTACCATATGCCAATGGTAGTTGTGTACCTAGAATAAGAACTTGGTCAACCAGTTTAAATAATGTTTCGATTGAATGTTGTAATAAATCGATGTTTTATCCATTACTTGACAATTTACCAAATTTGAAATATTTTACTTGTACACTTGGTACAGACAATGTGGAAACATTGGAACAACAATGTTTATCATTAAAAACAATAAATTTAACAACGTATGATCAAGATTCTTTATTTGACAACAGGAATCTGATGGAATTTGAAGAAATGAATAATTTATACCGTTGTTTGCCAAATTTGGAAGATATATACATTTCTATGCGTTGTTATTACGCAATAGATGAAATAATTAATCGTTTACATGGTGTTCTATCAAACTGTCAAAAATTAAAGAGTTTTGAGTGTCAAATTAGATACTCAAGGAGTAGCTCACCTCAAATATCATTAAATCAAATTATGAATCGATATCCTTTATTTCGAACCGCTGATTATGCCACTTGGGAAGACTCTCGGAATAAAATGTTTAGAATTCAAAGTCGTTATTGATAATATCTTTTTCTATTTTCCAAAGATAATAAAAACTTATTCGAATCAGAAAGCCAAATAAGCCATATAACATAAAATTTCTTTTTCTCTTCATAAATCATTAACTTATAAAACGTGTGCTGCATTTCAAAATAGTATCTATTGATTTCTATTCTTCATTAAGGGTGAGGATATGGGTGGGTGGGTGTAGTGTAAGGTTAGGTGAGGATGCAGCTACTAAGTAATATCTCACACACATCAGCCCATCCACTATCTTTCGTTTCTGTCATCACCGACATCTTCATATAGATGGTGGAACTACGATATTTATTCTTCACTTTACTCTGGATTCGCAAGATCAAATAATTATTTATTTAGGAAGAGGTGGTACAGTTATATCAAATAGATAACCATATTCTACACCACCACTTTTCAGAGTTTCATTTCTTAATGTTTTTCCAGTTGTCTTTTCAATGATTAACAAATCTATTGATACACCTAAACCTTCGAAATCTGAGAATACATAGTCAATGAAGGTAAATAATAACCGATTAAAATTGTTGGCAACAGCATTAAAATCCATCGTAATTAAATAACTGTCACTTTCTAGTGTAACAAGTTGACGAAGTGGTATAGTCGCATTACCAAACGAATCAGTAAAATTAACCCAATTACTACGTTCCACATCAAATCGATGTACTTTCCCATCATTACATGATTCAAATGACATATCCCAGACTTCCATTACTCTTAATTCTATATGTGTTTTTCCATCTAAACGTATATCACAAAAACGACCATCCATTGTTCGTAGTATTGCATCCATATAACTAAGACCAGTTCCTGCAATAATACTAAGTTCTTGAAATTTATCATCAGACGGAATGTTTACATAGTACCATCCCCATGCATATTTTGCACTTGGTTTTTGTTTTGGTGGAGAAGAAGGCATAAGTTCACCCCAATTCGAATCACCATAAGCTCTAAAACCAGCATCTTTCTTTATAATCACATCATCACCTTTAATTGTCAGTTTTCCTTCAACTTCAGCAGTATGAGAATATGTATTCCACATGATAACACCTTCTAGAAATCTATCAGGACCTTCAAATATATCTTGTGCATACCATCCATAGATTCTAGTTAGTGTTAAATCCCACTCAATTTCTATATCCTTCGGACAACCTTCATGTATCCATACGTTATTAACATTTTCTTTTTTCATATGTCCTCGAATTTGAAACTTATCATCATTAAGTGGTAAAATTTCAAAAAGAGTTTCATTTGTATTAGAAAGAATTTTGAAATTGAATGTTCCATTAACAATAAATCTATTTCTATCATAGAATTCGTACTTTTGCATTCTATAGTTTTGTTTATTGTCGACGACTGAAAAACTGACGGCAGCACCATCATAAACACAAGATTTTACGTCAGTTTTATAACACAATGTAGTACCATATGCGATAGCAAAGTGACGATCATTTACAGTATCACGAAGCCAATAGTACCACCATTGATAATACGGACGATATTTCTTATATTCATTTTGACGATAACGTTGATAATGTAATCCTGGTTGAAGAACACCATTACCAGGAATTATTATAGCATTAACCACGAAAATATAGCTTACACCTACAAGTATTAACACAAACGCTGATATGAGACATTGCATGTTTACCTCAGATATTTTTTATACAATTAAATATATGATTATTGTAAATGTTGAATCGAATAAATTTAACTACGAATTTTTATCTTTATTTATCACGATTTCTTGAGAACAATTGCCATCTGTATACTGAAGGACAAATGCATACACAACATTAAAATAGCTCACTCTTTAGTTTATTATCATTAATATTTTAGAACATTTTCATCGAATATATTAATCAATTTTTGTATGTA